TACTTGTTTGTTGAACTAAAATCCATGTAACATTTGCAATCGTGAAAATATTCAGCAAAATAGCTCCCTTGTCATGGTATGGACATAACTACATCATGTTAATTTTTACCCCAGTATGTTTGTTCTGTGAGTTCTTTATGTGTGCCGTTATGCTCATTTGATTTGATTCCTCCATGAAAGTCTTTTACAGACACAGCACAAGCCTCAACAGCGCGACATTGATACCAGAAATACACTATCCATTATCAATCGCTGTTTAAGCTGAATGTAATAAAATCAGAAGAATAATTTTCGCATTTTGATATGTAACTAGTTATTTTTAATCAGGCTATTTCCCCCTTCAGGCAAGTAAAATTCTCGAGACATTCTCGAGGCTGGTCAGCTAGCTAGTTCAGTCTGTATTTTACTACTGCAATTCTTCCTGATGACGATTGTAAACAGTCACGGAGTCCTTCAGACTGGATACATTTTTGCAGTAATGTGACCAAAATTATTTAAGACCCATCTGAATTTAAGACATTAAGACTTTTAAGGCCACCCTGTTCAAAAACAAAACTGGACAGAAAGGAACAGGATGCAGATGTCTCAACACGCACTTTTGAAAGTTTTTAACAACACAATGGCCAAAGATTTCAGTCTAAACATACATGTCTGTAGCAACAATGTTTTAAAGGGGATGAATTAAAGGGATACAACATTCAAAAATGAAAATTGTCATTTATGTTCATGTGGATCTTAAAATGCTAGACTTTCTTCTGTGGAACATAATAGATGATATTTTGAAGAACGCTGGAAACCATTGATTACTATTGTATGAAAATTTTCTGAAAAAATATATTCTTTCAATTCTGCAGAAAAAAAGAAATACATGATGAGCAAATGATGACATAGGCCTAACTTTCATTTTTGAGTGAAGTCTTTAAAAGATCCAAGCAGAGAGGGATTTACGTTGCAAACTGTTGATTAAAAAGCTAATGAAATAAAATCGAAGAATCTAAAACTAGTCCATGTAGATGACTAGACAACTACCGTGACACATCCTGCATAAATGCTCATTTCTGGATGACTCAAATTGTCTTGTGGCAGCCCTGAGGACAACAAAAGAACCTTTCTATCACTTTGTCATGTTCACATATTTAAGTCCTCATGCTAGAGGGCAGGATGTCTGTCTATTAACTTCTTACTGTGAGGTCTTTGTGTGAACATGGCAGAAGAAGCAGTGAAATCCTGACTGTAGCCCACATCCTCACTTTATTCTGATCACATGCCTCTTTATAAATTAAATTTCACACTGAATGTAACCCTAGACCCAACAAAGCACATGACCTAAACCGCTTCAGTAACAGAACCTTCTGTTCTGCTCAAAGGCTCTGTGAAGTGGTAAAAAAGACAATTATTTCAGAGCCAGCTTTGGCATTCTTGCATTTGATATGTACATATACAGATGTCAGTAGAAAGCCTCCCTTTCTGACAAGCCCTGTTGCCAAAAATCATCTGTATTGGCAGTGTGATTCTAAGTGAGCAAGATGAGTTTTTCTAAAACATAAGTGGTGAAACCTCACTTTTCTGCGTGTATATCACTACATCGGTAATGTAAATCTAGCAGTGTTTTAACGGAAAGACAATGAACATGACATTGTTCTAGAAGCATTCCTATTAATAGCCTACCGATGTGCCCAACTATTCTGGTAATTATCTTACACATAAAACGTTATAAATTATATGATGATAGCATAATGGCTCAGCAAAGGCAATAAACCACAGTGTAAGCGTTTCTATGTGTGTATGGTGAAACATTATGGCCGAAACTGATGGAATAAAGAGCATTTCATAAAAGAACAAGCATCATTCCAAACCACTAATTTCGTGAATACATGGTGCAGATACTGATTTCTTCAGTCATGATCGTATAGCACGCTGTATAATTCACACCCATGACAGCTGACCAAATTATGTATGCGACCCCCCCCAAAAGGAAAAAAAAAAACTTTTTATGCCTAAATATTGATAATTCTGGGTTCTGCTCGAGGTATGCTGGTTCCAAAAACGTGTCTGGGAGTAAGTTCAGTCGACTATTGACTGAACAGACATACTCAACAGAGCGACGAATCAACGAGTCACCGTGGAAACAGACGCTAAGAAAATGCACGCCATATTGCTTCTTTTGTTCTTCTTTTGTTCAATGTCCATTTGCATACTTAGTGCATATCACCACCTAATTGGTGGTTGTGCTATAATTTTTCATTTTCTTTCTTTCATTTTTTATGCTAATTATATAAAAAAGACATATATGTTTATTTTTATTATAAAAATACATTATAGAAAATGCAGATCCATGATGTGTGAGATAATAAAATAAACTACCTTGTTATAATAGTGTTTTATATTTAATTTATATCAATAACTATTATATATGACATTAAAATAAATATAAATACCATATTAAAATAACATAATATTACCTAATATATTACTTATATTAGTACTTTATAATTAACATACACACATATATACACATACAAATATATACACTAACGCTCAATTTTGGGATCAGTAAGACTTGTAATGTTTTTTAAAGAAGTCTCATGCTCATCAAGGCTGCATTTATTTGATCAAAAATACAGAAAAAAACTCTTGCAAAATTTTATTAAAATATAAAATAATGGTTTCTATTTTAATATACTTTAAAATATAATTTATTTCTGCGATGCAAAACTGAATTTCCATCAGCCATTACTTCAGTGTAAAGTGTCACATGATCCTTCAGAAATCATTCTAACATGCTGATTTATCATCAGTGCTGGAAACTGTTGTGCTGCTTAATATTTTTTGGGAACCTGTGATACTTTTTTTCAGGATTATTTGATGAATAAAAAGTTAAAAAGAAGAGCATTTATTTAAAATAGAAATCTTTTCTAACAATATACACTACCATTCACAAGTTTGGGGCCAGTAAATTTTTATTCTTTCTTTTTTTGAAAGAAATTAAAACTTTTAAACTGATAAGAAGTGATAGTAAAGATTTAGAATAAATGCTGTTCTTTTTAACTTTTTATTCATCAAATAATCGTGAAAAACTATCGCAGTTTCCCAAAAAAATATTTGGCAGCACAACTGTTGCCAACATTGATAATTCTAATAATAAACCAGCATATTAGAATGATTTCTGAAGGATCATGTGACACTTTACACTGGAGTAATGGCTGATGGAAATTCAGTTTGCATCACATAAATACATTATATTTTACACTATATTAAAATAGAAACCATTATTTTAAATTGTAATAACATTTTGCAAGATTACCATTTTTTTGTGTGTATTTTTGATCAAATAAATGCAGCCTTGATGAGCATAAGAGACTTCTTTAAAAAAAACATTACAAGTCTTACTGATGCCAAACTTTTGAGCTGTAGTGTACATATGTAAAACTACAACTATATTGTAAATATATACATTATTGTGCGCAATCTGCCATGCCCACTGGAGTCTTGTCAATAGGTCGAGCGTGCACTGATAGCTCTGAAGTAAACTAACCCTGAAATAGACCCTGCTCTGGAGCAGGTTATGTTCAGAAAATAAGTTGCTGTGGCTACTTGCATACCCTAAAACTTACCTCCATTTTTGGAACCAAAAGCCGAGTTGGGATCAGTAAGACTTGTAATGTTTTTTAAAGAAGTCTCTTATGCTCATCAAGGCTGCATTTATTTGATCAAAAATACACACAAAAAAATGGTAATCTTGCAAAATGTTATTACAATTTAAAATAATGGTTTCTATTTTAATATACTTTAAAATATAATTTATTTCTGCGATGCAAAACTGAATTTCCATCAGCCATTACTTCAGTGTAAAGTGTCACATGATCCTTCAGAAATCATTCTAACATGCTGATTTATCATCAGTGCTGGAAACTGTTGTGCTGCTTAATATTTTTTGGGAACCTGTGATACTTTTTTTCAGGATTATTTGATGAATAAAAAGTTAAAAAGAAGAGCATTTATTTAAAATAGAAATCTTTTCTAACAATATACACTACCATTCACAAGTTTGGGGCCAGTAAATTTTTATTCTTTCTTTTTTTGAAAGAAATTAAAACTTTTAAACTGATAAGAAGTGATAGTAAAGATTTAGAATAAATGCTGTTCTTTTTAACTTTTTATTCATCAAATAATCGTGAAAAACTATCGCAGTTTCCCAAAAAAATATTTGGCAGCACAACTGTTGCCAACATTGATAATTCTAATAATAAACCAGCATATTAGAATGATTTCTGAAGGATCATGTGACACTTTACACTGGAGTAATGGCTGATGGAAATTCAGTTTGCATCACATAAATACATTATATTTTACACTATATTAAAATAGAAACCATTATTTTAAATTGTAATAACATTTTGCAAGATTACCATTTTTTTGTGTGTATTTTTGATCAAATAAATGCAGCCTTGATGAGCATAAGAGACTTCTTTAAAAAAAACATTACAAGTCTTACTGATGCCAAACTTTTGAGCTGTAGTGTACATATGTAAAACTACAACTATATTGTAAATATATACATTATTGTGCGCAATCTGCCATGCCCACTGGAGTCTTGTCAATAGGTCGAGCGTGCACTGATAGCTCTGAAGTAAACTAACCCTGAAATAGACCCTGCTCTGGAGCAGGTTATGTTCAGAAAATAAGTTGCTGTGGCTACTTGCATACCCTAAAACTTACCTCCATTTTTGGAACCAAAAGCCGAGTTGATCCGCTTACTTACCCTTAAACATACCCGGTTATGTCACATAACCTGCTTTCTGGAATACCCCCAGACAGGATAATGTGGGACATAATCCTGTTGCAAAACCTATTGGGAAAAATTATGTCTCTCCCTCCTCAGGTCCATACAGGAATCCAATATGTGCAAAATATGCTTATCAGCACTGTCTCCCATCATCACGGACCTCCAATTATCATTGTCTGTTAAGAGCTACACTGAGACACAAACAATAACTTACCTCAGTTGGTTGAAGCTGAGCTCTAATCTTCTTGCCACTTCTCCATATTTTGCCCCAAGAAAATCTGGAACGTCTTCCCAATCATGCCCAACGCAGGACACCTGCATAAACGCAACAGAGAGAGGGAGCGATATCAGTTTTATTACATAGCTGGAACGTTGAAGTATTTTTCTTTCAAGAAATAGACCTTCTTAACCATTACACTGAACTGATGAGGATTAAAGATATGTTTGAAGCTGTTCAGCTGTCCATAAACATGTGACGGCTAATAATTCAAACTATTGTGTGAATGAAACCACTGTTATTATGTTAGTCAACAACTGTTTAAAATAAATATTTGTCATAATATTTTTGACTATAGAGTGGTCTCGCGACACAGAAAATATATTTATATAAATATATCCTCCGTTTTTATCTACATGACACAGCATGACTTGACAAAAAAAACTAAACAAACGCACACTTTGGGGCATTTGGTGTGTACTGGCTGGATAGTACACAGGTCACAGGACAACGTGTTAGCAGTATTTCACTTACCTGACTTCCCTTCACTACAACCATTGACTCGGTGTATGCCATTGCAGTCAAATGACAGTTCAGAAGGAAAGAAGCATCAAACGAAGACCACCACATATGTTTTTTCTGCTCATACGACTGAAACGTTTTCTTTATGTTTTCAACATAAACTTTTAAACTACGCTCCGACTGAAGCTTTACTTCTTCCGCGTGCTTGTGTCAGCTGATCTAGGACGGAAGCACGCGCCAGCGTTCAATCGCTCAAATCTGTTTCAGCTGCTTATGTTGCCATGAAAATAATGGTGAGTGAGTAGCATTCCTGCTAGCAATCCAGACAGCTTTCGTTTGAAAAAGTAACAGTTTTAGTCACTGGATGTTAGGGTAAGTTTGCAAAGTATGTGTTAAAAGTGTTACACAACGCATAATAACTCAGAAGTCATATTTCACTGCATTATAATTTCGCTAATCATATTTAACTGTCCTATTCGTGTGTTCATATAATCGCTTAAGTTAAAATAACCCATTAAAGCTTTATTGTTGTCGTTATATGACAGGACACGCACAGAAGCTTTGGGTGGGAGCGCCATGCCGTCACATCGGATCCTCCCACAGGCTTTTGGAGACGAGCAGGATCTTATGATGGCGGCAGCGCGCGGACACTACAATAATGCATTCACTTAGTTAGGCTGCTCAAATGTGCTTCATAGGACATCACTGGAAATCTGTTTAAATGATCATCTTTATAGGAAATGAAAGGATTGTGCCTGTAAATGTCCATACCTGTCGTAACACATCGGAGCGCGTGTGTGTAATTTCAGGTAAAGTGGTTCATTGTGGTCTCTTTTTTACCAAACTTAATGCTAGGAAATGCTTTGTAATGCATGTTTAACGCTTGTGAAGGAAGAACCCTTTTTTTTATTATTATGATTATTTTTATAGATGTTTCGAAAGAAAGGAAGCGGACTCATCTTTATAGGAAATGAAAGGATTGTGCCTGTAAATGTCCATACCTGTCGTAACACATCGGAGCGCGTGTGTGTAATTTCAGGTAAAGTGGTTCATTGTGGTCTCTTTTTTACCAAACTTAATGCTAGGAAATGCTTTGTAATGCATGTTTAACGCTTGTGAAGGAAGAAAGCTTTTTTTTTATTATTATGATTATTTTTATAGATGTTTCGAAAGAAAGGAAGCGGACCAAGACGCTCTATAGCCTAAATTTACGCAAAATAAGCCGTTTTCATTTTTAAAGAATTTGAGTTGGTTGGATTTCAGCAGTGTAGCCTACTTATGGGAGTTTTTCTAAACACTAAAAATATAATAAATATTGTATTTTTTTTTTTTATTGGAACTGATTTGTGTTACTAAGCTGCTTTACCTAGGCTATCACTTAATGTCTATGTTTTGCACAAGTGTTTTCGGCTGCTTTAGGCAGCTCTGTAAATGACGATATTTAGTCATGCATAAACATGACGATATGAAATATATGAAAATACATTTGCATTTAAATAATATGAATTACGCCCCCCCATTTTTTCTTCTTCTCCCATTTAAGGGTAATACCGAGTGCTTGGTATCTGGTTCAGAAGCTCATTCGTCATGCAGACAATAAAGAGAAAATTGTTGCCCGATGCTGGAAATTTATGGTTACCCTTCTTTGCCCTAATAACTCACGCAGTGTCACGCGCTGACAGCTTGTGCAGAAAACAGTCACACATCTTTACATACTGAAGAAAGACTCTGTGTTAAGCTTGTTTAAAATGGCCGATATCAACACTAGTGTCTGTTTGAATCTGTGTACAGCAGTCTTCCCAGTATTTGCACTTTCAAAAACGTATGCAAATATGTATCAAGACTGAAAATGGCTGCTCAATTATAATTATATATATATATATTTCTATTTGTTTCGACTCGACATTCAAGGGTTTTCAAAATTGTCTTCTAACAAGGCCTGTGTGTTATATGGCTAAATAATTCTAACTTTCTAAATATTAGAACACGTAAACTACGCTAAAAAAGCCAAATGCTGAAATGCAATCAGTAAATATTGATTTCTGGAGAGAGAGAGAGCGCGTGTGTGTGAGAGAGCGAGATGGGATTAATAATTAGCTCACACGTTTATACAGGCTTTTACAACAAAATTATTTATGTATCATTTTAAAAGTTAGATGCACTTAGAAAATGTGAGCAATGCTATTTTTATGAAGAAGAGGGGTGAGATGTTTGTATAGAGATTAAAACCGCGTTTTAGGGTTAGGGTAAACCAGCAAAGTGTATTGTTTGTCATAGATCAGGGTTATCTGTTTCAGTGTGTCTGACATACTCCAACAAAATCTACATTTCTTTCACGCTGATGACTGTCCACTCCAGGTTTTCTTGCTCTCCTAGATGACCTGTCAAGCGGATTACCGCAGAAAGAGATTAATGGTGGAGGCGGGTTGCAATAATAATCGTTTTGTTTGATGTGACAACTTTGATAGGCGTTGATTTACTTACAAACTGATAGGCTTTTAATTGAGCGCCTCCATCCAGTGAGAGATGAAAAGCAAAGCGCATTGAAAAGCTGCTCGATTGCCCCGGAGCCTCAATACTGATTAGCCGTCTCAGCGGTGACTAGTTCAAGGCATTTTAAACTTCTTTCTCAAAGGTCTGACAGACCATTTCTCTTTCTTTTATGTCTTTTGGTATTGTCAAATAAAATTAATAATTTTATTGTGTGTAAATAAAATGTAGTTGACATGAATGGAAAAAAATGTCTGGACTTGTATTATTATTATTAGGCCTATTATATTCTCGTTTCTTTTAACATTCCAAGTAAGTTCAAGTTTTGTTGGTTTTTGCCTGAGGCAATCTGATACCAGTTCACATTTGTGCAAAACATGTATCCGGAAAAACCTGAAATTGCATGTGAGACAAGGAAAATATCATTTGAAGTAGCCTACACCTGTCTGAAACTTAAGTCTCAGCATGTTTAAAACAGGTCTTACTGCTCGTGCATGTGTTTCTTTTTAATTCAGTATGCACTCGCAGAAGAAAATAAGTTAAGACAAAATTAAAAACGAATTAAACAAATTATAATGAACGTAAAATATGACGACAGGTAGTTACAGCATGCAATTGCTTGGTTAATATTTTTTTTGGGGGGGGCTTACAAGTTTTATAGCCGATAGAGTAAGCAATAAATAAATAAATAAAATAAAACATTACTTGCCCCGTGTTATTTTAGAACTTTTTAGAAGTAAAATAATTGTCATATTCATTTTTTTTATATTTAATTAGGTCAAAAACGTCGTCAAAAGTACTTTAGAAATAAATAAAAAACTGGGTTGTTTTACTTAGCAGCTGTATTCTATAGGATAAATGACCAGTGGTTGATCTTCTGTTTCTGCCTCGATTGAAAATAGGCGAAACACGGGGAATAGGTTCTTGTCTTACCGCAGGTTTCAAAGAAAAACCTTTCCAAACTGAGTAAAGCAGAGGGACATGCCCCTCAAATGAAGTGACTCTTCTCCAGGATGCTGCTTTTGCCCTTTTCTCCGTCGCTCGCGGCACATAATCAGCTTCAAAAGCTGAAGTGAAGTAAGAAAAGGATTGACAGCAACTGACAAATAACTGATTGATTGCGGTCGAGCAGAACTGACAGTTGACGGAGGGGTGGGATAGAAATAGAAGGGCGGTGTATATTATATTGAAAACATGTGACAGTCACATCCCTCTATCACTGCATTGGTCTGCTCTTGTCAACGCTTGTCTGATTGGGGAATTCAAACACTACAAGTTGATCTTATGTTTCTGGCACTTGCATAACAGTAAAAAAAAAAGACTAAACGCACACAGCATCTTGGAAGAAGACAATTTCATTTTACACAAAAAATTATTTGTATAAAATGTATTAAATCGAAAGGTTAGATGGTTCATAAAATGTAGTCCCTCATACAAAGGGGTGTATAATGATAAAAAAGAATCCCCAAAACTTTCATGTTTTACTTCTGTTTTTGTTGGTGGTGTTAATTATCATCAATAAAATATGTTTCTGGCACTTGCATAACAGTAAAAAAAAAAGACTAAACGCACACAGCATCTTGGAAGAAGACAATTTCATTTTACACAAAAAATAATTTGTATAAAATGTATTAAATCGAAAGGTTAGATGGTTCATAAAATGTAGTCCCTCATACAAAGGGGTGTATAATGATAAAAAAGAATCCCCAAAACTTTCACGTTT